TATTTAATTACCGACTTGGTTTCGACTTCAGTGCCATATATGTTGCATACCTCGTGAGTGCTAACCAGTTTGTTTAGATCAGATTTATGCCTAAAGGTGAAATTGACAGTTTGGAATTTAGAGGGATTTAAGGTAGGACCGTTTTCCTTGAACCACTGATTGATTTCTGATAAAAAGTAATTTAGTTTGTAGCAGTCACTTTGACAGGCAAAGATAGAGTCAGGTCGTCAGCGTACTTGACAAAATTAATGTCATTTGAAGACGGGCGACGTCGAACAAAAAACCCAAGTACGCGTTGGATGGACTAACGACACTTAGGGAAAAATGAAGCTTGAAGTCATTTCCCTCATAGAATAATGAAATGCATCTTATAATAATTTCTCACTCTATGCACATGAGGGACGCCAGTTAACAGGCATTATCAATATAATAATATTGTATACATGAAGTAAGCATGTTTACAATTTTTCACTGACAAATAATATATATAAGGAAAGGTGATGGAGTAACAACAGCAAGCACACTTTGCATAAGTCGAAACAATTCGTATGATATAATCCTGGGCGCCATTATTGTTTGAATGTGTCGAAAATGCGCGTAGCAACCGAGAGTTGGGTTACATGCAGTCGATATGGCAGGCTTTTCACAAAAGTACAAAAATGGCTTGTAAAACATTAGTTAGTTTGCCGTCAACAAAGTTTTCAGCAATATAGTCTGCGAGAGGCTCGCCGCAGCAGTTAGTATCCAGTTAAACATGCAGAGAAGTTTGATTGCATGGAGGATTTAATCATGAGCTGACATCAGTTAGAGAACCACTGGAAAACCTGGGAGTACTGGACAGCCGTTTCGACTCCTCAGCAGTACGCACCCACCGGGATTCGAACCCAGGACCTTCTGTTTACAAGGCCAGCTCGTAGACCATTGAGCCACTGGGACCCGATCCAATGGTCCTTGAATTCTAACTTCTGCCAGTTCACGACATAGCGCGACCACTTCGCAATGTCTTCTTCGATGAGTTACTGCCTCATCTTCGACCTGCTCATGATTAAATCCTCCATGCAATCAAACAAAATCCCTACAAAAACCAATACTTGAAAATGCAGAGAGGTATTAATAATTCAGCAACCGGGTAACTTTTGATTCTTTTTGATCTGGAACCAGAATGACTGCAAACCAATTCATATAAGATCTGAAATGAGGCATACGGGAGTAGAATATTACTATCAAATGCGTCAGTGGGATTTAAATGCATCTGTCAACATATTTGTATTACTTCTTAGGTTTATTGGCGCTGTATGGTTGGTGATTTGTTTGCCATCATGATCAACATATGGATGAATATTCAGATGTGTACTAAAACTTGTTTTCTTTTCGGACTTAGTTAATTACATTTCATGTAGGGTTTGACCACTCTACGACACTAGCGTCATAGTCTTTTTGTGAAGATATTCTCGGAAGTTTTCATATCCGGTGTTTGCCTCATGAAATGCTTGAGTTTATCACTATCCCCACAATGCGTTTTTTTCTTTGTCTAATGCTGACATTGCCAGCTTACTTTCACCAAGTGTGTCTTTGGCTAAAAGTTGAAACGGTTGATGATTTCAGAGTGTAACAGGCTAAAATACGTATGCTTGCTCACCTCTATATGTGTTGAAATATGCCACCTCTGAGGATCTGTGACGAATTTCACTGTTCACCGAAAATGAAGTCAGCAGTCTTAACGAAATCTCACTTCCTTGTCTATTTGCTTGGGTGTAGCAGTTCGGAGATTTTCGTAGACTTTAAGCCGCTCTACACAGTCTCATTATTAGTAGTTCAAAATTTGGCGTCGTTTATTTTGATTCGTATGTCTTCAAATCCTCTTTCTTGATGCGTTTCTCAGGGTTATTTGCTTCACAAATCGTCCAATGTACGATCCCGCTCCCAGTACTTCGTACAGAAGCTGACTAAGTAGCCTTATGAAATAGTAGCAACAAGAGCTATCAACGAGATAAATATGGGGAATATCTACCTGACGAAAGCTGCGTGAGCCTAATTTATAAAGTTATTGAGTGGATCAAACTCAGTGAACGGACAGAAAAATATGAAATCGCAACATGTAGGGATTATCTGAGCTTAAAGTTACATCAAGTTCAAACAGACAGTACATAAAGAGTAATCACACAGAACATTACCCAGTATCGTCTATTAAGATGCATGAAGTCAGTCAACCCATGAAGAAAAGCTCTGCACTCAGATTCTAACAGCATTTTGCGGGAATCCGGCTATAAAAACTAGGTGCTGTCATATTGTTTAGTCTGGGTTGCTTTCAGTCAGGTGGACGGGGAACTCGTACTCATCCTGAAACGCCTGCGTGAACGCCAGCCATATGTAAGACAGTGTAAGTTGAAGCGAACGACCAAGCGGGCGAGGCCGGTGAAATGCTATCAGGCCTTGTGTGTATTCTTGATGAAAAAGACGTCAGATCCGCATTTTAGATGGAATTAACAAAGATGAAATCTGAACACTGCATTAAGAAACCTGTTAATATATTCAGCATGCTGCGGGAACTTTCGTGCATGTGACTGATGATTCCCAACTAAACGCTTGTGTGCTGCTGGAGCTTGATTGGTACAGGTATACTTGAAATGATGGCGAGAACCTAAAGTATCAACAGTGGCTGCTAGAGGTTTCGGCTGACAGGAGTTGAAGCAAGTGAAAGCGACATCAGGTATTACTTACGGATGAACAAGGTATCATTTGTAGGTAGCCATCTTAAGATGAAATGATTCCCGTGAATGTCGGGACGTTAACATCCACTCAGGAAAGGCTGCCGGAACTCGGATCAAAATTTTAGAGTAATTCTCCAGATGGCTTCCAATCCCACAGCGGTTAGGGCTCTCGCCGACAATACACATGGTCCGAGGTTCGATCCCTGCCGACGCACACCTGATATCTATGGTCGGCCTGCAAAATTTGGGCTACCGATATCGTTGGCTGAAAATTCCATACTTGTACCAAAAAAAATACAGTGTGGAATCAAGCTGTAGTCAAAAAATTAAAAATTACCACCTGACTAAGGGCTGAACCACATGTAAATATCTGAGGCAGATCACTAGGACTCCTTAAGTGTTTTGAAGTCATAAGTACTAGATATTTTCTGCAGTTAGTGCTGTCGTATGTAGCTTATGTAGGGTCACCATCGAATGTAATAGGAACCAGCGATGAAGCTCAGTCTCATCGTTCCCACTTATCTCTTTCTTCAGCAAACTGAATCAACAAAAAGAAAATTGTTGGTAATTTATTTTACGCACACGATACAGGCATCTTTAAACAAGCAAGCTGATAAAATTTAGTGTTCTAAATACCTCCCAGTGAAAGTCTAAGTACATTTGTAACTCACTTCGTTTTTTAGAAATTTAAAATGACGCCACAGGTTTGACGGACTTTCAGGATGGATTAAAAAGGCTTGATGGAGATCCTTTGCCACTTGCCATCTTCCAAACTTTAGAGACACCTGGATGGTAATTAAACAGTCTGTGCACCATGTAGTGGTCAGATCTCCCCCACTCTATGGTGGCCGGAGAATTATATAGGAAGTTACTGCTTACGTCAGACGGAGTAACGTGATAAATAATAGTTGACCTAGATGTAAGTTGTTATCTGCGGAGAAAAACTACACTGCCGGCTTTGCGATTGTTTGAATCCAGCCTGTATTACGAAAACAATAATGAGTGGCAAAATCTTTCACAGAATGCAAATATATATTTTTTGATTTACATTCTGATTCCACACTGTATTTTGGTACAAGTATGGAATTTTTAGCCAACGATATCGGTAGCCCAAATTTTGCAGGCAGACCATAGATATCAGATGTGCGTCGGCAGGGGATCAAACCTCGGACCATGTGCATGGTCGGCGAGAGTCCTAACCACTGTGCCACCGACGCATGTATCAAGTGCTGAAAACCTTTCATAGTTTTCAACTAGGTATTCTTTCAGCCGCACAGTTGTACCCTTATTCGTCCCCCTTGATACTTATTCTCCTAGAAACTAAAAATAATGTACCTGCGTTCTGGGTTCAACGCTGGCTTAGCTTTGGGTTTAAATCTACGCAACAGTTATCACTCCGAAACGCAATGGGATGCGTTCGTGAAAGTATCCCCATATTAAACTCTGTGAAAATACCAGCCACGTAGGCATTTGTGAGGCATCTCTTTGTTGAAGAAAATGAATCATGCTCATCCCTTTGTCTGCAATAAACGCTTTATTTCTAAATTTTTCAAATGATCTGTCTCATCGGAATATCTGTACAACTATTTCAGACAATATTAAGCGCATCACTTAGATACCCATTCTCGACTCTTTGCATTCAGGAGTTCAAATGAGAGGTCTTGGCCACTGAAGTGAGCCTAGTCAAGTATGAGGATGGGTATCACACCGACAATCATGGTTAAAGTCGTGATAAATCACGAATTGGTAAAAGCTAGAACCCACGGGCTATTGAATCGGATCCCAGTAACCGAATGGCATAAGAGTTTGCCTTGTAACCGGAAGGACCTGGGTTCGAGCTCCAGTTAATGCGTACCACCGACGACTCCGAAACTATGATAAAAGAGGTGTCCAGTACACCCTGGTTGTCAAAGGTTCTCTAACTGATATCAACCCGTGATCATCTCGTAAAAACAATACTAGTCTTCACAAGCCAACTATAGTAGATTCAGGAATCACTTATCATTGTTTTGGAGTGAACTTTGTCTCAGCACAGAAAATCTAGCGACACAAAATGCATGTTCCACTAAACTTGTGATATTGTTTTCAAGTGTGAGTTGGCCATTATTTTAAGAGGATTACTGGATATCACAACAGCTGAGAAAGAAACAGGAAATATTTAGTTCGTAGTCATGGTTATCCATTTTTTAATCTAACCCCGGAGCTTTTTGGTAGCCTGAATGACTCAGTCTCCAATATTTGTATGTATATATTAGGAATTGAAGTAAAGTTGGATACCATTCCGCGTATTTCACTTAATGCGTTACGTGACCCTGAGTCACGTGATGGCGGAGTTACTGCCGTTCTTTGCGTCCACATATATTTGAATTCAGGGTTTTAACCACTGTTTTAATGTCCATGGCCTAACTGGATTGCCTCTCCTCTCAATTAAAACTGGATTTCGTGGTTCTGTCATATGCTTATGAATGAGTTCTTGTGTACGATAGATGTATCCACGACTTCTGTTAGTAATACTCTTCCTCTGTGTTGTTACAAAAATTTCTTCCTCATCCAGTGGTGATGGGTGCTTTGGACTTTCTGGTAAGTGCTTTAGAACAATGTTTTTTAGCAATATTTAGAAAGGCTCAAATGGAACAGAACGTTCAGTTATAATAATAAGGTGTTGACATTCAAACTGGAAGTCACCGATAATCCGGAACATTGGATTATAAACTATTTGTTTGAGATTTTGGCTCGAGAACGACTGGGTTACACAAAAATTGAGTTTGTACGGACCGATGATAGAGACATTGGAAAGACTCTTAAGAGATTGCAGTGTCCAGATTCTCAGTAAGTTAAATAACCAGTAGTTGCTTGTTATCAAATTTAGTTGGTAGATTCTTTTTTTAAATACTCCGGCTATTTTCGATAGTAATTATACACTGTTTGTTTTGCAAAGGGAGATACTTTTGTAGCAGTTACAGCAACTTGTATTTCTATTTATCTAATTTACCATTACTGGAGCTGGTTGTACTCATATATTCAATTAGTTGCATGTTTGATTTTTTTTGTATATGGTTTATTTGACTGTATGTAATTGTTTACAAAGGAATACACTAACGGTTGAAATCATTCCTACGCAGTATCTCTAGTTATAATCGGTGGGTTTTTACAAGTTGCCAAAAGGCTAAATTAGCAAGGAAACGTACATAGCAAGGGGATGTTTAGTTTTCAAAAAGAGATCTGATAAAAGTGAGTGCTATTTCTAACTTAGAAAAGCTGTGTAATGTTTCCGCAGGTTGCTGTGGTCGCACAGATCGTGGCTTCGAAATACCAGCTCCAGTAATATAAGGAAGTATAGTTTTTGTAAACTGTTGTTTCCTATTTGGTTTCTGTCAAGCTGGCCCAAAGAAAGAAAGACGTTACATGGCATGATACTTCGAGTTAAAAGGTTCTCTTGGATTAGCAACCACTGGAATACTCAAATCTGAGGATTTAACGTCAGGTTGACATATGACTTTTAGTGCCATCGGGCAAGATTAATAAAACCAAGTTCCGACAGCCAGTATGAACATTGCCAAGTTTCATGCAAATTAAAGTGAAGGGTGGAACTGGGGATGACAGACGGGTTTTGGGGAATATTCAGCTTGTGAATAGCAGCAGAAAAGATCCTGGTGGTCGTCTGAACCCCAAAGAAGTCTGTGTTCAACTTCAAGTCGATACAATTAGGTATAATTTCTGTCAGTTTATTATGCATTCGGACCTTAATAATAAGAATTATCGTGTTCGTAGTGTAGGATTGCAAGTTTCCATATGTTCACCTTTCGCTTTCGAATGTACTCTTGATTAGTATGTTTCGAAGTAACTTCAGATTCCTGTGCATTTGTGTGTCCCATTACTACTACAGCAAGTACTTTTATTCAACTGTGAACGTATATAGACGTAAACTACGCATTTCTTGATTAACCTTAAGTGGTCACAACTTGTCCAGTTGTGCAATAGTCTGGGTTTTAAATTCTGATTGAATAATAAATGGAAATGCAGTTAATAAGTCCTTCAGTGAGGTCGGAACTTAGACCACTAATTATGTCCATCAACATCAGCAAATTTCAGGTATCCTGGTTGGGCTCTATCAAATTTAAAATTACTTCTCTTCTTTTACACTTTACGTCACCTTAGTCATGCTTATTTGAAGGTCAATATATATGGAGTGATATATGTTTGGAAGTATCTCCATCTCTACGTTAGCTGATGTTAAATGGAAAAAAGTGCAAAGGTTTTACAGGAATAAGTTTTAGAATCAAACTGTATGATTACAATTATAATCTTCCTATATTCCGTATATTGTCTAACATGTGAAGTCCCTTAGATTTGAAGCAACGCGCATAGATTTATTAGATCTAGACATTTTCATCAAGTCACTTACACTTAATTTTAGATGCATCCAACTACCTGAAATACACCTCAACTTAATGCTATGGTTGCCACTTGGTGGGGACGTTAAGTTCTGGACTCAGCCTTCATCTATCACTGATCATGGACCTCTTGGACCTATCCGTCCCTGGAGACTGTTCACGCAAGTAAGTGCTTATATATATAGAATTTTATTGTTCACGGCTTGTGTCAAATAACATTGAACATAAAAGCTTTGAAACTAAATACAAGTTATCTTGATAAATTGGAATAAAGAAAGAAAGATTGAATTCTAAGTAAAAAGTGACTTCATTTTACTTCAAAGGTTCTCATCATCTGCAGACTACTTGAAATTACAGTGGTTATGAGACATCTAAAATCAGGTAAGTGTTAATATGATAGCAGAGAAGATGCCATGAATTTAGGCGTTCGATAGGTAGGCATTACAATTTTTACTTCAAGTCATTATCAATCTATAAGCCGTTCAAAACAGAGGAAAGGATCTGGGGAAGACAAAATTTATTCTTTCATGCTTTATCGAAGTTTAGTAATTACTTTCAGTTCATTTTTCCTTTAGTGGTTTATTATGCTGATGAATTTAGAAATATCTCTAAAAGACGTTTAGTTTACTTATTTGAACATGTTAGGATTTTTGTAGCCTTTGCTTGGCTACATAGGTCAAAGTTTATATATATATATATATATATATTATTTAAGTTCAAAATAAGTAAGTTTTAGTCGTATAGTAACTAATTAATTTACCCCGATGGTAACTGCATAATCTTGGTCTCATGATATATGGAAGTACCTACCAAAAATAGACAAAAAGTTTAGCGAAGGTTCTAAATTCATTAATTCGGATATAGGTTGCCTGGTAGTCACTATGATTAAGTTGTACAGCTCCACTATTCATGAACTCATTTAATTTTCTTGAGATAATTTACTTGTTTGTTACTGTTTTACTTGTGTTTTCCAGTCATGTTACAGTAAATCACATCGCAAAGGAATTTCGGAATATGCTTCTTCCTTCAAGTATAATTGCAATTCATTTGACCAAGGTGAGCGCGTTTGGAAGTATATTTTGTAAAATAGGGACTTCATTAAAGATTTAAAAAATTACATTAGCATAATCGATTCTATCACGTTTAAAAATACCTAATAACTGTCTTCCTGTAGTGAGGGATAACCTTGAAATACCATCATTAAATGTACGAATAAGTTTAGTAGCTCATGTAAGTAACAGAATCGAAAGCAAAACGGAATTTATATAAATACTGAGTAATTTGTGCGTCGGTGGCACAGCGGTTAGGACGTTCGCCGACCATGCACATGGTCCGGGGTTCGATCCCCGGCCACCGATGCACTCCTTTACCTGGCTAAGCCAGTAATAGAACTGGCAAAGTGTGAAGGTTGGGCATGAGGCTAGCAACCCCATCCTGTAAAAATAAACACTGCTACAGAAACTTCATGCCACTAGCTTGAAGCCCCATGTTCCACTGGGAATGTGAAGGAATAAAAAAATTTGACTTGTTAATTTTAATATGTTGAAGTCAAGTTACTCATGAACTAGATTATGACCCACACAATTCATGAAAGCTGGTGGTGGTACCAGGCTGAAGTAGGTGAAGTAGCAGTCGAATGAGTGAGCCACAGGCTGAAACTTATCTGCTTAAACCGATAAGTCATATCTGCATAGAAAAAGTTAAAGTTGTTTTTTGTCATACAGATTAGAATCTTTAACCAGGTATGTCGATTCAGTTGCTTCGTTTAGTAAGAATTAGACTTTCTGAAGTACCAGTGCTTTTGCAAGCCTGTAAATTGTCGCATATAAAGTCCTTGGATGTGAATTATGGACCCTCGCCGATAGTTTTACGTCCATTACTATTAATTTGTTAGATCGTGTTAAACTGTGATCTCAATTCTTTTGAGGCCTTATTCTTTTCCTCGAGGATATCATCAGTGAGATATTAACACAACGCCTTAGGAATGCAGTAAAAAGAGCATTCAATGCTGCTGAATTATGCTGTCTTCAAAATTATTCCTACTATGATTTCAGGAGTAAACGATAAACTGCCTAATTTCGCCTCATCTGTATGTATCTACCGATTTGACTGCTCCTGAGGAGCCAGTTGCACAGGTCGTACAATTAGGCGTGCTTCTCATTGGATTTCCAAACATCACTCTGCGTGGTTAAGTAAAGGACAAACAAAACCCATTCATAGAGCTATTCTATGTCATATTGTGGATACAGAACACAAGGCTTCCAAAATCATCTACCGCATATCAACTAATCTTAACTTCCCCTTAAGAGTTCGTCTACTGCATATTGCTGAGGCCGTTGGGATCCACATTAAGAAACCCAACTTATGTATCCAAAAGAACTGGTGACGACTAGTGGTGTCCGTCAAGGATGCCCATTATCTCCTTTTCTATTCAACTTTATCATAGATGTGTTAATGGACTTAACCCTAGGTGACTTCAGCGACTCAAGGATTGACTTGCTACCGGGGAATAATCTCGTTGACTTGGAATATGCAGACGATATAGTCCTTCTAGGCGAAGACGCTGACGAAATGCAGAGTCTTCTAAACACCTTGAGCCGCAATCTACGAATGTTTGGCATGCGAGCGATTCGCTCCCGCCAAATGCAAGATGATGTTACAGGACTGGACTACATCGACGCCTAGTTTAAAAATAGGAAGTGAAGTGGTAGAGCACATTGACCGCTTCACTTATTTGGGAAGTACCATCAGCCAACGCCAACGGGCTGATCTATGACGAAATCTCAGCACGAATACAGGGGGCTCGTTTCGCATTTGTTAGTTTACACCGACTCTGGCGTAGACGAGATGTTCGACTATCGACCAAAGGGCGGGTGTACTGCTCATCAGTCCGCTCCGTCCTCCTTTATGGTTGTGAGACCTGGCCACTCAGAGTGGAAGACATGAAAAGACTAGCTGTCTTTGATCATAGGTGCCTGCGTTCTATTTCCCGCGTAAAGTGGCATGATAATGTGAGCAACATTGAAGTTAGGCGTCGAGTGCTAGGTAAACAGTGGAAATCAATCGACGAAGTCGTGAAGTTACAAAGACTGAGATGGTTAGGACATGTGTTACGTATGCCAAGCCATCGCCTCCCTCGACGAGCTATGTTAGCGGATATAGGGTCAGGCTGGAAAAAAGCTAGCGGCGGTCAAACAAAAACTTGGCCTTAGCAGTCAATGAAATCCACAACAGTTGGTCTAAGCCACGTAGGAAGGTGTAGACTTCCAGGCTGGGGTCCTCGAGACGGTAAAAATCTATGGTTGGAAACAATTGGTGACATGGCTCAAAACCGTTCTCAGTGGCGCAGATGCATCCACTCCCTGTGACTTATGATCTCCAATGAAACTGTTTTGTTCTTCGTTATTACTCTTCCTTTGTCTCACACCTCTGCTCACTGTTTCTATTATGCTTTTCTTGTACTTTCTTCTCTTGCTTCGCGTGCTACACGGAGTGTGGCGACTTGAACTTTGTGTATAGTTCTATGTCGAAAACAGACAGACAGACATCCAAAAGAAGTTGGTTCGAACGCTATCCTTACCTTGGCCTTCACAATTGTAATGATCCCCCAATTTATGTATCTCTAGTGAACTGTAATTCCCTTGATCTTACTTAACTAATCGGTAGTGTTTAAAAACACTGATATTGGTAATTACGATTATTCTGTAATATTATATATATATATATATATATAATTGTGGGGCCAGAAGAGGAAATTATCATAAAGGATATCCTCTGCGCAATTTTTTTGTTTTCTGCAAATGTTTAAATGAATATTTTCACTAAATTAAATTGTAGTTGTCCTAGTCTATAAATCTCATTGCATCAATCCTAAAAAGTATCAAAAAGCATGACCATTGGGTTTCAGTCATGTAGTAGAACTCTGAGCTACACTACTAGTTATAAGATAATCCATGTCATCAGTCATGCTTTATATCACGTAATTCTCGATTCCATTTCAATGATTCTTCCTTGTTAATTAATTAATTAATTTCCTCACGAGATTATTTTAGACTATCGTCATTGAAATTTTTCATTACTTACTTCTCTGACGAAGTTCACTTTTTGTTTCTCCACAATACTTTTCAGACCATCAAAGAAAAACTACACAGAATTCAAATGTATTCCACAATCATACAATACTCTCTGAGAGGTCTATCACTGTTTTAGATTTTGAACTGAATTCTACATGTCTACGATATAATTCGCATAGTGTTCCTCCACCTCCATTATGCCGTGCTGATACACAATCTACCTCAACAAATGATGAATATTGTCATACAGAAGCCTATCAGGCTGTTAAGGTGACTTGGACAAAACTACAGACTGCGACTCCACAAATCTTCCAGCTTGCATCAAAAATTTATATGTCACACGATGACCTGATAGAATTAGTTCACTCAGTATGTTTTTCTTCCAGTCTTGTTTAGTAATTCATTATGCCAGTATTTCTGAATAGTAAATCAACCACATTATTAATATGGTAGTGACTTTATACTTTTTCTATTGTGTCTGGACAGAATTTTGTGACAGTTGCGTTTCTTATCTGTCAAATTTGTTGAACAACGTCTAGAAATAATTTAGCAAAATCACTTGTAAAAATCAAAGGAGACAAAAGTTCAAATTCATAAAAAACGTTTTCAAAAAGACATATTAAGGCTCTTCCTAAATTGAAAAGAAAACTCGAATTTCGAGGTGGGCTTATTGTCATTGTTAAGTCAGCAAAACCTCCTAAATCCTTTTCCCTCGTTTCTCTGTGTTCCGAATAGAACATCGAGTTCCAAGTTTTTAAATTTCATTCGCAGTAGTGTTGTTTTTACGAAGTGGGGTCTCTAGCCTCGCTCTCAATCTTCTCTCCTTTTTTTTCCAAATTGCGACGGACCAGTAAACTGGACTGGACTGATCTAGTCAATGCTCTGTCATAATCAGTGATCATTTCTGGATGAGAGTATACAGTACAATTTATGGCCGTATATTATTTTGTCACTCACTATTCCTAATATTTCATGACTTTACAACTCTTGTGTCATATTAATATACCAAATAGGGAAACTCTAACCACTAACAGTTTTCTAAAGCAGTAACACTGAAGGTAATTTTTAAGAAATCTGCCGGAGAGAATTTGGAGAGCAAAAAAACTATTATTATATTATTATTGTCTCCTTTAGTTCCTAGAGGAACATAGGGCTTCATCCGCACGTCTCCACTGCGTTCGGTTCTCCACAAACGTTTTCGCCTGGACCCACGTCTGTCTACATGCTTTCATCTCCTCTTCGCATGACCTCTTCCATGTCACCCTCGCACTGACGACCAACTCGCCGCTTCCCCTTTGGGTTCCACTCAAGCAATGGTCTGGCGTGTGATGTCACTTGATGGTTTTCTCAGAGTACAGCCAATCCACCGCCATTTCTTCCTGCATATTTGTTGCACAATCAGTTCCCGGTTGGTTCGCTCACTGCCAGAGATCCCTGTTGCTGATCTTTTCTGGCACTCTGATCTAAAGTATTGAGCGAATACAGCTGTTGATGAAGGTCTGTAATTTGTTCGAAGTGGCCTTCGTGACGCGCCAAGTCTCTGATCCTTATAGTAAGTAGCACTGACTTCACATTGGAGTTGAAAATCCGGATCTTATTTCTCATGCTGAGTGATGTTGCTCTCCACACAGTCTTGAGAGAACTGAAAGCTTGCCTTGCTTTCCCCATCCTCGCTTTGATATCCTCGTCAGTTCCGTCCTCCTGTAGTTGGAACGATGCTTCCCCTGTCAGTTAGTAGGTAAAGTAGGTTGCTTCTTTCAGATTTCTCCTATTTATGCTAATTGTTGTCTCTTGTTGTTGTTGTTGTTGGCCAGGAATCTTCATCACCTCTGTTTTCTCCATGTTTGCCTGAAGTCCTATCTTCTCTGGATGCTTCTGCCAATTTGTTGCTTTTCACTTGCATATCTTCCAGTTTGTGGGACATCAGACATATATCATCGATGAAGTCCAGATCCTCCAAGTTTTTTGTATGAGTCCTGTCTTGCCGTTACCTGATGTCTGTCGCATTACTCACTCTACCGCTATCAGGAGAATCATTGGAGATGGTAGGCAGCCAGCCTTGTCTTACTTCCGTCTTCACTTTGAAGGATTCCGTGAGTTTCCCACTGTGGATTACTTGGCATGCAGCATTATTTAGAATTTGAATTATTCACATTGTGTAGCTAATGTCATCACCTTGAAAATGTACTGTGGTACAGTTAGTTATTTTCGACTGTCAGTTTCATGTTATTATTGGATAATATTTCGCTTCGTAAATTCCATTTCTGATCTGTATAATGGATCCGGAAAGTATTTACAAGTGTGATAAGATTGTGAACTGTCTGGGGACTCGTGTCAGTCCACTCCCAGAATGTTTCAACTTCTATACAAGTATGTTTTTGTACCCTTCCACAATTATCTTTTTGACAGACTTTAAAAGCTTTGAAAAATGACTAAGAATTCGTTATATGTTTGTAACTAACAGTTATATTCTTATATTGAGTTTCATTCAAAGCTAATATGCATTTAATATTACGGTTACTGATTTCTAACTCGCTTAATTGTGTAGCATTATATGTGTTGCATAATTTGAATTAAAATTAAGCATTATTGTTGCGTTGTATATTTAGGCTATACTTGATTCAAGTACACCTCGTCAATCAGTATATAAACAAGTTGCATGTCGTTGGCTTCGTCAAAATCCAACTAAATGGAAAAGTTGGACAATTGACTGGGATAAAAAACTGAATTTAACTGTGGCAGGTTTGTTCAGTATGTATGGAAAATGGGTGCTGTATGGCCTTGATCGAGGTTAGTTTTCCTCTTTTGTTTCAAAGATTAGTTACCCTTATATTCTGAATAAGACTTTCTCTCATTATTCATCCTGATTTAAGTCTTAATTAGTTACTGTTCATAAATCTAATTTCACTTATTTCATTGATGTATGAAGACTGATCTATTCACTATTAGAATATCGCAGACTTGCATCAAAGCTAGCAAAATAAACGATTAATTAAGGGTATAAAAATATTTACGTTGTAGTTAGATCGCCGTCAGCGGTTCTCTCATATATATATATATATATATTTTTTCAAATTTATGGAGATTTAAAAAGTTTCCGTGTGTAATTGAACGATCGCCTAATTTGTTGCAAATAATACAAATAATATTAGCGAGAAAAATCTTCAGCTATGTTGTACATGTGAATGAGTCTCTGTCATCACATCCATCAGATGATGTATGTATGTATGCTGTATTTTAATGTAGACATACAGACAAACAGATAGAAATACCGTTTGGGTTTTTCTAGTAATAAAGGTGATTTTATCAATTAAGTGTTAGCGGAATAGCAGGTAGATTGACAGACGGTGATGGCATATTGTGGTCACACAATTACACAAAAAAAACAACGCCAATCGTCGCCGCATTGACTTATACTCTCTGTGAAATGGAAACTGGTCACATATTTACTGGGTTTTTTTGTTATAATGAAGAGAATATAACTATGACTCATCCTGAAAAACATGCAACAAATAACCAAATGAACAGGTACTTTTTATTCTAATTATTTCTATAACATTAATACTACTACTACTACTACTAATAATAATAATAATAACAACAATTAGATACACATTTTTATGTAATCGGTCAATTTTTCTTTCTCTGTTCATCACTTTGTTTCTAGTGATTGTATCAGATACTTTTTTTATCGGTTTTAACAGTCGAAAATATCAAGTGTTTCATAGAGCTTTAATCCCACTTCAGTTTATTTTAGACTGGTAGTAGAGAGCTGGAAAGCCTTAGGATTCGGTGCTAGTTACAGCCCACTTGAGTCTGGGCAAAGTGCTGTCAGTTAAGTAAATTATTAACTCACTAGTTACTTTTTTATTTCTTTACACTCCCAGTGGAACATACAGCTTCAAGCTATAGGCTTGAAGTTTCGGTGGCAGTGGTGTTTATTTCTACGGGATGGAGTCGCTAGCCTCATGCCTAACCTTTCCCTCTTTACCAGTCTTATTGCTGGCTTAGCGAAGTAAAGAAGTGAGTCGGCTAGAGACCGAAGCCCATGCGTGATTCGTGAGCGTTCTACAGCTGTTTTGTATGATTTATTGGAGATACGATCCTCCATATCACTTATGTAGGGGAAAAATAGCCTCTCAGATATTTATGAACATCAGATGCAATATAAGACTATTCAATAAGCTGCTTAAAGGTAAAAGCTTCATAGATATTATCCGAATGCAGTTGTCTGTGCATATAGGTGAATTATCTGTACACCGTGTAACTTTACTTAGTCTCCTAACTCAACAGTCTGTAACTTTGTAAGTTACAGGTTTAGGTGTTGGCGCTCAACTTTTGACTACCGAATTACGAGTTTGAATCCTGTACTACCCAGTGAAGTTTGAGCAGTCTCCTAGTATCACACAATAGGTGTGTGACCCATTACCAACTGGTATAGTATTGAAATTGGTTGTTGAATAATTGCATTTAACTTTAACTAGTCTGTAAACTGAATATTATCATGTGCACCTCTTTTTTAAAAAAAAATTCTAATCCAGTGGCTCAAGAAGCTATGAATTTTGTCAATGCTGATTCAGATTACTTTCGTAATTCTGAATATGCGTTAAGTTTGGATGTACGCAATTTAACATGTGAACCGGATATTGTTTTAAGTGATTATTTTAAAGTCTTAGAGGATGCAGTAAACAACCGTCTTATAGGTTCAATTGGTAAGTTAATTCACACTTTTTGTATTTGTTTTTGTGCATAAATTTATTTATTTATTGCTTTGGTTATACGGTGTTGTCGTCCACCCTACGATTTACCGGTGAGAAGTATCCATTAACAGATAGATAATGAAAATAGAAATGTCATTATACTAAGCTCCTGTAAAAATTAGCATAATTTCTGCATCTTATTTGTATATATACATATATATATGGTTGATGAAATTATTGATTTGGAGTTAAGCTCTCCAAGGCATTTAGAAATTAAACCGCGTGTGTTTTAATTTGTAGGCTATTGGCGCAACTAATGGGTTTTTAGTAAATTGTAGTACCATGCATTCCGATATTTTAGTTAACGCACTGTTTTTATATAGATTTATGCTATAGATTTAGTTCCTGGCATATGCATCTTGTAATACAAGAGAAAAAAAAATGTGGCAGTTTGAATGCACTGCGTCATTATTATAATTATAATTATAATTATTATGCCAGCCATTCAAACAGGTGACTAATAATTGTAGTAGTATTAATGCGTTTTAGTATTTATTACAATAGCCACTTTTTCACTGTGAATTATCAACGATGCCTAATATACAAATAACTTGTGGTTCTACCTGATTGTTAATACTGTTATTGGTAGATGCGATAAATTTCAGTGTGTTTTATGCATAATTTCACCAGTGGGTAATTAAATTAAACACTTGGACTACAAAATCACTGCATAATTTGTTTCATGCAAACTTCTCAAAATTATTCTATGCATGCAGGTTTGTAATTATTAAATACTATTGTTCCCTTGGATCCCGAACAGAACATAAGGTTTCAGTTACACATCTCCATTTTCTCTGTGGTCCTCTCTAACTGACCCCATGATTGCTCATAGTCTTTCGTCTCTTCTCACAAATTCCTCCATATCTTCCACGGACGTCCAACTCGTTGTTTCACATTTGGGTTCCACTCGAGGTGGAACATACCGCGCGATGTCAATCGACGATCTTCTCAGCGTGTATTCAATCCATCTCCATTTTCTTCGGAATATTTGTTGAACAATAGATTCTTGATTTGTTTATCCCAGAGTTTCTTGTTGCTAATTCTTTCTTGAGTGAAGGCAACTGTTGTTAAAGGTCTGCAATCTGTTGGAAATCCTTTTCGTGTGACACAGTGCAATCTTCTGACCCATAAAGAATTCCGGTGGGCGCGTACTGATGAAGAGTCCCAAACTAAGACGAAACAGCTGTCCAGTACTCCCAGGTTTTCCAGTGGTTCTCTAACTAATGTCAGCTCATGATGAAATCCTGAAAAACTGACTGACTTAACATTGGTGTTAAAAATCCTAATTTTGTTCTTTTTTTGCTGAGTGCAAAATGATTACCAAGCTAATGTCAAAGTAAGATGAAGGTGTCTGTCTTGCTTGTCGAATTCTAGTTTTGATATCCTCATTTGTACTATGTGTCTGTAGTTGAAACGATGCTTCCTGGTTAAGTGAAGAAAGTGACTTGCGAATTTCTTCCGTTTATGGTGATTGGTGCTTGTTATTGTTGGTTGGTTTCTTTTCGTCGTCTCCGTCTTCTACATGTTTACTCAAAGTCCTTCCTTCTCTGCTTCTAAAGAAGTAACTTCAATTGAATACAGAGAATATGGAGTTGACAAAAATAGTCTATGTCACAGTGCTAAATTTTCTTTAGTAACCTTGCTTGAATGAATTATCTAATTCTGTTTTTAACACAGCAGCAGCAATTTGATATCTGTTTATTAGTAATTCAAAGTTTTCAGAACTTGCTTATAATAATAATTATTATTATTGTATTCTGAAAAAGGCGTTAGTACGTACTCCAGAATTTTCAGCATATTCTGTTGCAAACCATTTACTCTTTATGTTAGTAATGGGTAATATATCATTTGAATGGATATTGTTGTATCCAAAGCGCACATTCTGATACAAGATGCTACGCTTTCTCACCATTACCTTCAAAAAAAAGAGATCCACAGTGGTAGGTTGAAACAGTTTGATTGAGGGAAAATGTGGTAGACCATTGATTTAAGCAGGCCACCGAGGATATTACTAGTAAAGGGTGAAAGCATTCTACACATTTTCAGGGATTTTCAGAAAATTCATTATATTCTAGTTTGGTTTCATCATTGTTACCTATTTAAATGAGCAACCAGTGTGGATCCACTGTTACAGTAAAGGTGAGTAGATCACACAGTTTAATTATTGTTGGTATCTTTGTTAAAAAAAAGTAACCACTGAAATATTACAATCAGGATACTATTCTGCGTACATTGTTTTGAATTGCCTAGATAGATTGCCTAACTATATGCTGCTAGTCTTTCGTCTCATTCAAATGTTTGGAAATTTTTGCAACTTGTTTGATTTAAATTTTCGCCTATCGTTTTTTTGTCCGAAGCTGCTTTATGCTCAGATTCAATAGAAGCTGTGGTAGAATTAGCAAATATCCGAAAACAGATTATTGTCAGTCCAACTGTGGGTAGTGCACGTTTTCTGGAACAACAACCATACCACTATTTTTTCCGTACAGTACCGTCAATGACCTTAGCTAAGTAAGTGACGTTAAGTTTCTCTTTTGAAACTAAACTTCAAATTTGCTATTCCAAACTGATAAGTGTGTCGTACTACTCAAAGTTTTACACTATTGAACGTTGACCTACGCGTTAGGTTGTCAAAATACACATTATTTTACAGTTCTTGATAAAGTTTAGCAGTTTAAGATGACAGTGTATTCATTTTGACTGTATGCTTAGATTTGTTATGGTCGAATATGTTTCAACCAACAGTAACAACAGCAATCAGCACCAATCACCATCAACGGGAGAGATTTAACAGAGGTAACTTCCGTCACTTATCTAGTAGACATCGTTTCAACTACAGGCGACAGAACGGATGAAGATGTCAAAGTCAGGCCGGTTTGGAAAGGCAAGATAAGCTTTCATCAATCTGAAACCAGTTTAGAAATCTGTACTCAACATAACAAAACAGATTTGGATTTTCAACACAAATGTTAAGTTGCTCGGTTATTCTATGTGAGGCAGAAATTTGCAGTGTGTATCACGGAAACGATTTTCAACAGGCTACTGCAGACTTTTATTAACAGCTGCCTTCACTGGCTCCATAATGAAGATCGAATGGCCAGAAAGAACAAGTAACAAGAAACTCTGACCGGGAACAAACCAACCAAGAGCCGATTGCTCAAGAAATGTGTGGGAGAAAATGGAGATGGATGGATGGGGCATACATTGAGGAGGCCATCGAATGACATCGCGCGCAATGCAGGCCATCGCTCGAGTGGAATCCCATGGGGGGGGCAACGAGTGGGTCGTCGGTGCTAAGGTGACATGAGGGAGATCGTGTGAGTTGGAGAAGGAAATGAGAGATTGTGAGCAATCGCGAACCCAGGTAAAGAAGATGGCAGACAGTAGACATGGTGGAGATGTGTTGTTGAAGCCCTATGTTCCACTCGGATCCCAAGGGGATAATTAATAAATATTTCATTCGAAAAGTGTTATGTAATCAACCAACTATACATTGTAAAGTTGTTTGCGATGATTATTAACATAATGTAGCCTGTACTTCTTGTCCCACATATGTAATCACCAAATGAATTTCCAAGGGTTTTTGCATGTTAGCACTGAGCGGAATATTCTCCATTCAAACAGTTTAGTTATGCCATACGATGTCACCAACAGCGTCGAAGGCACATCCAGTAGAAACCAATTTCCTGCAGGATAATAATAGCAAAATTCAATTCAAACGGAATGAAATTTACAATTATACAATACTACGTACCTACAAACAACACAGACCTAAAAGCGAGGGAGGGATTTCTACAGACAATCTCTGTTTGTTCCAGAGTCTTCGCATGTGCCTCACCAAAAGTATTTCTGAAAGACTGGAGACTCATCAATAACTGTCTTCTCTCGATACTGAAGATCAGATGACCGACTGGAAAGGGGACGGGCAACAGTAAACCAGAGGAGAACCAAGCAAACGTGCATGAGGTAATACAGACAGATTTGATTTGCGATGATTAGACATTCAAGTGCCATCTCACTCCAGGCCCTCTAATAGAGCCCTGATGCGAAGCGACTGGTCGGTCTTCCAAGAATAAAATTTGAAGATAACACCTGAGGGGAGATAGAAAGCTTGTGGGTACTTCTATGAAGCCAGTTTAAAATAATAGCAGAGATGAAGTATTGTGGAGATGTACTTCCAAAACCCTATGTTCCACTCAGAACTGAAGGAATGAGTAATAGTAATGCACAAGTCTATGTTCGGAATATATCAAATCGGGTCATTTCTGGCACTGGCCACCATGATTCAGATGACGAATCTTCTACACATCAATTCGATTTGCACTTGACGGCTTGAAGAAGAGTTTACTGAAGTCTTCTTTTCTTTATTCGAATGAAATGAAGCATATGGTGTGCAGTGATGGAGCTATATGCGTTAGGTAAGCAGATTGAATAGACCAACTTACGAAGCTTCATCAGACTGGGCTGTATGGTTTTTTTGGATGGTATTTGTGAGTGCTTAGACTAGAACATGATTTTGATTAATGAAGTAATTGACTGTTGGTCTTGTCATAGTAAGAAAAGCCTAGACTATCTGGAGTTTTCGGGATGCACCGGATCGATTATTGATAAACTTTGATGCTATGGTGAAAATCCATTCGTAAAAGAAATCCCAGCGTTACTATTCTTGTTTCAATTAACCTGTCTCTTTTATTCATGTCTGTCCAATATAGTGTCGACTCTTTTTGTTTTTGCTCTTTCCTTTTTGAAGTGCATCAAGTTTAGGCAATGTGCTACTACTGTTTTAACCTGTGCATAAACTTCCTGGTCAGGTAATCACGATCAGTGATAATTGAATAATTCGACGGATTAGATTAAAGCTCATATCAATGACATCCTCCTTGCGAATAATCGTAGGTAGTAAATGGCACTGACAACCAGATGTGTGTCTGCCTTAAATAACTTTGCATACTGATCGAATTTGTTTCTTAACTTTTAACCCGTATAAATCCTAAAGCGGTTGCCCCTAATATCATCAAGTTATAAATTTTTGGAAAATTCGTTATTCAACATCCTAAGGGAAATAAGTTTTTTGACTAGCGCTAGGAAAACAAATTTCTGGCGTAGACTTTACGCCTTCTTTTAAACATCTGTGGGATGTTTAGTGGAAAAAAAATAGACTTCAAAATTAGAATTGATAGATCGAATTTAAAAAGTATAGGGCTGTCGGCGTGTCGTGAATTTAGTGTGATATCTTAAGCTAGTTTTTATTTTATTCTTTTATAATCCTAACCTTTTTCCTAGAGCATAAACACAACGTCAACAGAGAATTCTGTTGTTGCTGACTAATTCATCAATCTACCCGTATGCAAAACTGTTATTTACAAGTTAAACAATGTCTCCTATTATATATTTGTGATTGCATATTATCAGAAAGTCGGCTTTATTTTAAGTAATAGTCTACATAAACTAAACATGGAATTAAAATGTTCCCCATTGTTAATACACAGTCGAATATATGTCAAAAGATTTTGAAAAACAAAAGAAAAAATATTGGGATGTGGACTGGAGTGTGCAATTCATTGTGTATTCCGAAAAACTTTAGCATACTTGAGTGACTGATTGAAGAACTTTGGATATCAGATTTAAATTATGACAGTATTCGAAGGGATAACATCTAAATAATACTTTACTAATTGAGGTATGAAATGCTGTTGTTGCAAACCACCGTACAACACCTAATCCTCTGGCAAGTGTTCCGCTTGTGTAGCGTTCGCCAACTTATGTCATCTCTAACGTGGACGTAATATCCGGTTGTCGACTGAAGGAGATGTGTGCTGCACAGAAGTTCGCTCTGTCCTTCTTTGTAGCTGTGGGACAAACCAACTTTTCACCATGGGTATTTCCGGTCTATCTCTCCTGTTAACTGGCATAACAAGATTAGTAATATGGAGGTGAGGTGTAATATTAAGTGAGGTGGGTTAGACAGCCGATGAAGTTGTGCAGCTTCACTGATTAAAATAGCTAGGACACTGTTATGACTGAACTGAATAAATCCCTTGCTACTTTGTTATGTCTGCGCCTGTTAATTACTACAACGGCAATCAACTTGGCTGGTACGCTTATATGCCTATTTGTTTGTCCGTTGGACTTTCCGATTCACTGAGCCATAGAAATATCAAAAGAAAAAGACTGGCCTGTGAGTGACTAAGACATCATGTTGTACATCTATTGGAAAACAAAACATCATATTCGTGTAATTAATTTACCACAATACAGTTGGTTCACAACCGTAGAATGGACTGTTTTTATTGGCCAGAAATTTCTATTATGATTGGTTGGTGATCCGACAAAGACCAAGGTGAGACAAAAGACGAGGAATTGATCACACACTAAATCACAATATGCGTGAGAAGTGATAGACTGACTGATCCACATAGTAACTCCATGACAAGATAAATCACATGATTTCTGAGAAAGCATGATATGCTATTGTATGATGGGTCCTATCAGACATGTGCTACTCATATCAAGCCATCGCTTCCCTCAGCCAGTAATCTTAGTCGACATCGAGTAAATTCGGAAAAGAGTCAGAAGTAGTCAAAACAAAACCTTGAATCAATTCATGAAATCTTTGAATGTTGATTTGTGCTATGTAAGGATGTGTAAACTATCTGTGTCTGTCTGGTGTCCTCTAGACGTTGGGATCAATGACTTGAAACTGTTGGTGACATCGCTCAAAATCGTTCTCAGTGTTTCAGATACATTTATCTCTTTATGAACCAGTAGATACATGAAACTCTCATTATTCTCTATAAACTGAGATTCTTCCTTCTCTACATCCCCTATCATGATAGTGTGTATTTGTGTTACTTTTCTCTTATTCCACATTTACGGGCTATTTGAGATGTGCAACTTGATTTACTGGACAGTTGTACGTCGAAAATTACCCTGATAACTTGATTGATAATCAGTATCGGTGGAATTGAAATCTGTTGGTATTGGATGGTTGGTTGGAGGCAGTCGGCAGGAAACATTCGACCTAGGTAATGTCAATGATAACGTCTCTGAGTGCAGCACTGGTTGATGCGAGTTCGAATCTCAGAAGGTCGCAGATACGCCTTGCTGACTGGTGGGTGGTTGCCAACTAACATAAAACTTATGCGAGTTAGTTATACATGTCCAAACGAAGTTCACTTTTGACAGTTTGAGGTAGGGCTTGCTGCTGATAACCTCCGACCATCTAATATGAAGAATTCAAAGTCCACGGTGATGGTGAGCCACCTAGAATGGTGTTCATATGGCAAACTAGGCGCTGACTAGTGTCCAATCAATGAAATTGATATTTAATTTTTGTTTATTAATATGATTTCAAATTGCATTGAATTAAAAGAAGTACTGTGTTTATTTTTATCATGACCCCGTCTAATTTTTATTTGTATTTTCTCAGCTTTATATTACTTCGATTATTTCTAATATGGGGCTGGCATCGAATTGTCGTATTTCGTAAATCTGACCATTTTTTCGAACCTTTACTATTTCAAGCAAAAGGAATAGAAATTATAGCTAACATTGAAATGGATGAACAACAGTTAACTTATAAGTTGGCGAAAGATGTACGTATCTTTGTGTGTGTTTTTACAAATATTACCTATAAAATTTATAGGCAATTACATGCTTTGTGTGTGTGAGGCGGTCAGTGATTATAGTTAGGGTTTTTTCTCCTTGTTGTTGTAATGTGCCTATACTTCTTTAGTCACTATGTAAGTAAAGCGATCACTTATTGTGTAAATTATACCTGATGTTTAAGAGGACTAAGGTGTGTGCCCGATTAGTTTAAAGCACCCAAGTTACTACAGTCGGTGGATTGCAAGTCCTGCACCACCCCTACTTCAGTCTGCAAAACTGAAGTTGTAACTCCAACTGTCCTACAATGTGTGTGTGTGTGTGTGGCTAGCAGCTTGGTGCATAGAAATCTCTCCACTGCTCACTGAATTCAAACAAAGATTATGAGGACTAATGTTTATTATCATACCTTTCAAAATGCAACTGTGCATATACATGGGAAAATCAGACCTTTATACTCAAGCATTTTTACTATTAAACTGTGCTTCCACCTATATATATATATATATACGAGATAAGGAACTACTTACTCGTCGCAAGATATTGAGGTTTGTTTAACTGGAAATGAATTGTTCATTAGTCATTGTGTTGAGAGTTAAATCTCTTGACTCCCTTCTAAGTAATATCATTTCTATGGATTTTAAAGCACAAGGATGAAGAAAATATACTATAACACTGTCATCTCACACACACACACACACAACTTTTTAACTAAAGTGGGTTTTTCCCCCAGAAAAAATATTGATTATCATGTATTGGTGTGCTTGAATGATAGGGGAATATTTGCCAGTCACACGGGTGGATGTGTCTATGCTACATTTCTGATCAACTCTCTTCTAAATCTTTACTAGCTTTACGAGTCATAGTCAGCCTGGAAATGAAGGGAGGTTAGCTTTTAAAAAAATAAAACGACAAAAAAAACTACAACACTGCTACCGAAACTTCAAGCTTTGAAGTTGTGTTATCGTGGTGTGATACAGACAATGTGTGCCAACGGAGTATTATTCTCACATATTCCCACAGTTCAATTTGACATTAACAAGAGAATACGTCATATCTATTTGAACATGCTACTTGATGTTAGAGACAGAATACTTTTCACACAGTTCAATACTGCGTCAGCAACAGAAAACTATGCATATTTGAACATTTTGTTTCATGTTGTTTGATTTAAACCGAAATTACAAGTTCGGTGATTGGTTAAAGAATATAAACTGCATATTTATATAAAGAGAGGTTTGATCAATGGAGAATATACCTTGGCTTCCATGTCTCGCCTTCTGTTGTAACAGTATAACCCACAGGGAACGGAAATAAGGAGAGCTTTCATAAATTCTACAATTTTAAATGTTTAGTTAACTTATAAAGGTACAGATTTGCATTTTATCGGCTTTGATCGTTCAGAAATATATTCACGAGAATTTTATAAGTTTAATGGATTGTAATGCTTACATTCTCACTATATTATAATATGCAGTGAGATCTGAGTAATCTGCGGTAAAACAACTTTACTAAAACTTTTCATTCATTATTTCTTTTTGAAATTAGTGATTTATATCTAGAAATATGATGTTTTATTCATGCCTTATTGTCCACTGACATACAGTACACGTGCAATATTCTCTTTTCCTCTCGTAGACATTAGAAGAACTGAAACAACAAAACAGTCGTATATTTGTTGTTGAATATGATGCACGTGGTACCTATTTAATACTCTGTGCAGCTTATCATCAAGGTATGCATTTCTCGGCTGGTTATGTTTGGTTTTTAAATCCATGGCTTTCTGATCAATGGTGGTCGGGATTGGTTGATCGTAATTCTGAATGTACTTTTAATGAGATGCTTAATATTACTTCATGGACGTTTACTGTTGGACATCAGTTGTTAATTGGTCCTATGGTTCACAGTTTTATACCACGTACAAGTGAATTTATGGACGCTGATCCAAAATCTGGAAATAATACAAATGCTACTATGAATCGGACATCTATACCTGAACAACTCCAACGTAGACGTCGTCATGTTACTGTTCAATCACAAGCTTTAGGAGAATTGCCTGTTTTATCCAGAACAAAACATCATCCTAAATCAAATGATGATGGGAAAACTTCATTCAATGATCATTCAAAACGCAGATTAGTTAAAGATCCTTTACATGATTATACAGTATACACATATGATGCTGTGATCTTATTGGCCAGTGCTGTTGTTCATCTCTTAAGAGAAAATCCTGCTGCTGCATCTGCTCTCAATCATCCAGAGGTGTCTGAAACTCTCAGATCTCTTGTTGCTAGAACTAATTTTGGTTATCGTTTTCAAACTGGTGATTCGACTACAGGCCAATCGAATGAAGTTGATGGACTTGTTGCAGGTATTAATGATGATAATTTTGGTGTAGATGCTGGTTTTCAGTTGGCCGGTGATTATTATGGTATCCGTAGTCAAAGTCCTGCATCAGCATCGAATTTACGATTTAATGATCATAATGAAAGAATTGCAGATTATTGGTTGTTAAAACAAAGACATTTTAATACTACTGTACCGATTATTATGTGGTCAACTAAAAGTTATGAGGAGACTCAAGAACAAGATCAACAGCCACAGCAACAAAATTCTCAATCTTACGATCCATTCAGTCATATACTCACATCTGATAATATGTCAAATAAATATGATTGGAAAACAACTAATGCTCCATTTCTTTATGATGAATTCCAGAAACGAATGACTGAACGTTGGTTAGATCATGTGAATTGGCACACTTTAGGCGGTCCACCAAATGATGGTTCAATTAACGAAGAGAATTGTACATTAGCATTTCTTAGTAATCAACTACGTATGGGTTGTACCGGTGCTACTGTCTTTGTTACTGTTACCGTTACTGTACTAGTTCTTTTCCCGTTAATTGTGTTCGCTCATTTTTACTATCGGCGTAAATTGAAAGAGATTGAAAAGCGTACACGAAAACCATTTGAAGAATTGTGTGCTGAATTGGCTGACTTAGATGTAAGTTGTGTTGGTGTTTTCGTTTCTTTATCCAGTTTTTTCCAATATCAAATTTTGTTGTCTATCGCTAACTAATATCAGGCAAAGGTTTAGGCGAATCATTACAAGAACCAATCGCCAGCCAACAAATATGCAGGAGAAAGTGGCGATGGATTGGACACTCGCTGAGGAGGCCGTTGGGTGACATGGCGCGCGTCAGGCCATTGCTCGAGTGGAACCAGGCCGAAAGGGAAGCGGCGAGTGGGACGTCAGTGCAAGGGTGACATGGAGGAGATTGTGTGAAGAGGAGTTGAAACAGTATGGACTAAGATGGATGCAGGTGAAAAGTACAGCAGCAAAAGACAGAAGCAAGTGGAGACGTGCAGTTGAAGCCCTATGTTCACTAGGAACCCAAGGGATCAATAATAATAATAATAAATTATTACAGACTGTCAATAAGAGTGTACTAATTTTGGACCACTAGTTCCACTTACACCAACTTCATTATTATCACTCTGTATGTATGACAGTTGTAGACACCCAAACTATATACCTGTCAGCAATGATTATGAGTCAGTGGCCTCCTAAGTTTGAGTAGATTGTTTGAAGAGACATAGTTATTATTGCTCTTATCTTAAAATAAACTTTTAATACTATGCAAACCAGGGAATCTCCTAAATGTGAATTATAGTAAAATGACACTAAATATTTAATAGCACTTGCAGTATAAAGATCTGTTGCACAACTTTTGTTCTTCCGTTGGCCATGAACCGTAGGTTTACATGATATGGAACTCAGTATTGTAAAAAGTAGCTGAACCATTGACAACGACTCATGAATACGGAATTCCAACGCTACTGTTTCGCAACCTCCTACTACTAAACCCCGAGTTAATTATTATCTTCGTTTCTTGCAGTCACTTTACAAGTCCGTGAACACTAATGTCAGTTGAGTTTCCTCAAAAAGGAACGTCTATTTTTCGAACAAAGTCAGTATTTCAAGTATTGGTTTGTAGGGGGATTTGGTTGATTGGTTACAGGATTTCATCATGAGCTGACATTGGTTAGAGAACCATTGGAAAACCTGCAAGGAGTACTGGACAGCTGCTTCGTCATAGTTTGGGATTCTTCATCAGTACCCAACCATCGGGGTTCGAACTCCAGGACCTCCTGGTTACAAGGCCAGCGAGCTCGTATACCATTAAGTCACTGGGACCCGATCCAATGGCCAGCCCATGAATTCTAACTTCTGCCAATTTAGGAGTTAGCGCGACCGCTAGCCAATGGTCTTCGGCGAGTATTTGTCCTCACACCCGACCTGCTAGTTTCAGAGTCCCATGGTTATCATTTCTGGTTAACACAAGGAATTCTGAGAATACAGCAATCTTCAAACCCAGTTAACTGATGAAAATATTACTTACATTGTAATGTCAGAAGACACGAGACTTGGCAACGGAATGTCAGTTTGGAATTTGGTGTCTCTATGTAGCCAAATTATGTTCACTTTATCAGTAAATCGTCATTTGTACAACAGATCTTCCGTGTTGTGCTACTTCTGCCCTTCGTATTGTGTTTGTTTGTCTTCTTTTCCTGTCTCCCATGTTTTGCCGCAACGCTGAACTATTTTCTTTTTTTGTTGACGACAAATCTAACTCTCTGCTATTTAATATTTTTTATGTCGATGATATGTATACTTATACTTTATATACTAATGATAAATCTCATCGGTAGCGCACACACCGCAACATTAGTTAACAGTTCAGTATCTGTGTGATAACTACCTTTGAGGTATAGAAATTCACGGTCGGTCTCAATTTTTTCTTACACCTTGTGTCAACAATATAAGACAATTAATGTTTTATATTTTAACATTATTTTGAAAATAAAATAATGTTTTTCAATGCTTTCATGTGACCTGTTCTGCTCAGCATTTACCGTATCCCGAGAACTGTCCGTTATAGAGGTGTGTACCTGAGAAGTTTGTCAGCATCCTGATAGCCTTATACAGAAATACCTCAGGTAGAGTGAGGGCACACGACCAACTATCATAACTGTTCCAAACCAACAGTGGGGTTAGATAGGATTGCGCAGCCTCTCCGTTTCTCTTTAACTTTGCCATCGATGACATTCTGGAGTCAGCTCTAAAATACATATTTGGTGGCGGTGTTAATCTGCTTCCAGGAGAGATTTTTTAACCTCGAGTATGCAGACGATATCGTTTTGCTGTGCGATAGCATCCTGGCTGCCCAAGTTGCATGTAATCAGTTGGCGATCAGTTTCTGTAAGTCTGGTGTGTGCCTTAAGGTGTTTAAGTGCAAGATACTGTTACAAGATTGTCAGGAGCCTGTACTGGAACTTACTCTTGCAGGTGAACCGCTTGAAGCTTTCGATAAGTTCGTTTGTCTGGATTGTTGTGTGAGTGCCGGCAGAGGAGATTTCCAACCTCATCATGAAAGCTGAGCCACCTGTGGCACCGTCGCGACGTTAACCTGGCTGTCATAGGTCGGGTTTGCAATGCTTCGGTGCGTGCTGTCTCGCTCTACTCCTGTGAAACCTAGCGACTCTGCGTATTCGTCCGTCACTGTCTCCGTGGGACTGCCTGCGTTGGATGGTATCATCGCTTGAGTAATTCTGAGCTCCAGCGGCGTGTACTTGGATACAGTGGACATCACCATTCATTGAGTGTCGTCACCTGCAAACATTGACTTTGGTGACTTGGACATGTGCTCCGAATGTCATCCCAGAGGCTTTCGTACCGGTCTCTGTTCGCTAGCCCTGGGACTGAATGGAGAAAGCGGAGAGGTAGTCAGCCCATGACGTGAAATCGTAGAATAAAGGATATTTGTGTTAGGTTAGCAAGGATGGTAAATCACGACTCCCTGGTTGAAGTCCGATAGATAACTCGAGTTGGCGGCCCGAAACGTTATCGGATATAACCAATAATCGCGATCAATGGAGAACTTTCTGCAATTTCTTTCTTTATTCCCTTTCCGCTGGTATTTGATGATTGTTGTTTGGTCGTGTTAAATATGACTGTTTTCCTTCCAGGTGAAGTACTTTATCCGTCCTCTGCCTATATTTTCACTTTTAATCTATGTTGTATTATTAGTGCCATATATGTACCAAGTTTTTTGGGCTTAAATAAATAATAACAAATATATATATATATATATCCCTAGTCTTTCACTTTGCATATCTGAAGTTTGCAGATTTTGTTTTACTGGATAAATGCTTTACACTGTCATTCTTGTTCACTTGGTTTCCAACTGTTAAAAGAATGTCATCGAGGGTAAATTGAAGATGAAACGTTCGATATGAAATAATTTGCTGTCATTTTTATATATTGACGATATATACGAGGTACCATAGCATAAGAACATTTTTTTTTGAATTTAGAAGGTGCTCAATTGCTGTTGAATTCTAGTCATACAAGAATATAGCATTTAATGTTAATGTACTCCATTTTCCTGTACTCTCCACACAACATTTCACCCTTACTCTCTCATATATGTAATTCATCACTGAAGCCGATTGAATTTCATTGAAACGCTTATTTTTATTAAAATACGCAACCTTTATCACAGAATAAGAATAATCACTAACTAAAATATTATTTATATTTGTCATTTTAAATCTTCTAATTCCTTCTTTTTTTTGGAACGTTATATTTTTCAATAGATGCCTGCGGAAAATATTGTACTTAATCGTCGAGTTGGTCAAGGTGCATTTGGTTTAGTATTCGGCGGTGAAGCGAAGAAGAATGATTTATGGGAGGCAGTTGCTGTAAAAGTGATAAATGAAAAAGCAACTTATGAAGGAAAAATTGATTTTCTGTCTGAAGCAAAATTGATGCGTTCGTTGAATCATCCAAATGTAGTTCGTTTGATTGGTATTTCATTAAATCCAAAAGCTAATTTATACTTGATAATGGAGCTTATGCTACTCGGTGATCTGAAGACATATTTACTATCGCGTCGAATTTTAGCACAAAGGTAAAAAAACGAGAAAAACAAACAAACAACACATTCTTTTCATGGCAAAAGTTTTCATTATTTTTTCGACTGAATTTCTAATGAATTGGTGTTATTGTTTACAAGTTGTGTACATGTTTTTGTTTTCCCAATATAATAAATTGTCTACTTAGGTCAAACAACAAAATATAGATCTATTCGATCTCTGTGTAAACTTCGCGCTTCACTTGAATTTTCTCACATTACGATCTCGTTAGTAGAATCCCTTGATGTGTTTAGGTTTTAAGTTATGGCTTAAGCTCTTACTATGCACCATCTTAAAGATCAGATGTCCAGGAACTATTAGCAACAACGAACTCGGCCGACGAATCCACAAACATCCTATTGCCCCACAAATATACAGAAGGAAGAAATGGATAGGGATTACAAACACACTGAGGAAACTGATGACTGGCGTCACATCTCAGGCCTCAAGAGTCGCTTGAAGGGGATTCGATGAGTTGGGTGTCAGGTGATATGAAGGAAATCATATGATGAAGAGGAAAGGAATGGCTTGTGGACAATCTTGGTGGAGTCAGCTACAGACGATGGGAGAAAACAAATGTGCTGTTGAACCTATGTGTTCCACTTGGAACCTAAGGGAGTAATAATATCCGATAGTGGGATAAATGTTTTGCCATCCATTATGTTATTAGTAAAACCCCTCATATCTTCAACTATTGATACTTGTTGTTATTGCTCACTTCAGATTCAATCTGGACATGTCAACCGGTAAAGTTTAAAAAATTAGTAATCCACTAAAATATAAAATTAAATAAGGACAATTTAAAATATCTTGTAAGAATATATTTTTGGTATAAAAAGATGTTTTTCAACAAACTCTGGAGAAAGTTCTGTAAAATTAATCTATCGTTAAATGATGAGGAAGTATGTCTCCTATTTTTATTTTATTTTTGGCTAAAACCAAATTGCCTTATCTGTCTTCACTGTTAGTTCGACAGATAACCAACTAGTCTTCGAGTTTTTTTAAAAACTAAGGTGAAGTATTTTCGAGGAATTGAATACCGTCTCCAAGGTAGATTTCGTTACGAAACGAATAATAATAATAATTTGTTTTATTGTAAAAACAGTACTTGTGATACAGAATGGAATTCTCAGCATTTTGCTACAGTATTGCATACAGTTAGTGCATTATCAATAAATAAAATTCTACATAGATTAAGGTAATCTCAGTTCATTATGACAACAATATATTGGCATGTTGGTAGCAAAGCCGAAATTGAACAGAGTATTTGAAGGTGTTAGAAAAGTAGATGGTAGCATATTTACTGGCATAAGCGGTAACAAGAGGTCGAGATATACAGAGTGTGGGAGAACGAAGAATATTTTAAAAGAGGTAATAAGGAAAAAAGAAACAAAGCAGCACATGACAGAAAAAGAGAGAGAGAGAAAGAAAACGTTGTACCTATAAATGATATGAGTTGGAAAGACGAGATCCAGTTGTTCTACTGACTATTTAATAAGTTAAAGGTTTCACGCGTCTAATGCTTTGTTTATCGCACAGAACACGAACTAAGTAGGGTATGGTTGAGTTTTTGTACTTACTAGTGCAAGCATATGGTTTTCTATAAAGGCTTCTGGTTTTGCCTGAAGAGATACAAGGGGAGAGTTGCAATGAAGAGGGTGTTGTGAGGTATAGTCTTTCTTCAGTAACCCAGGAGAAATTTAGTAAGATACTGAATGTAAATTAGGAAGTATCTGTTAAGTGTTTTGTCCTAGTTTTAGAACTTTTCAGCACCACGCTTCCATGATAATAACATCAGTGGTAACACCGCAAGACCTTTAAATTGCGAATTGAGTATATCTCTATCAAACCACTGAATTGATAACCCAGTGCTCAGTAATTTTACTAGCGTAAAACTGGTCATTCAACTCAGCTTCTTGATACTCACTTCGTTTATGATTCAGGGGTAGTTAGTTCATTACCCAGATTGAGACAGTTGATACTTTTGACTTCTTGCTTCAGGTCTCATTTCTTGTTTTTATTTTTGTTGCATATCCTACCTGTCAATCTGCTGAGATTTCTCCACATCTCGATTTATTTCGATGATTTTTCTTTCTTAAAATAATCGTCGAAACCTCGGTATAGATTATTATTCTTATTTTTTTGGTAAGGCTTATGAACTTATCTGGCATTAATAGTAACAATAATAAATATGGTGTTATTTACCATTTGTCTACTTAGCTGGTAAATGGTTCTAGTTTTTATGATGATTAAAGCCAAACATTTTGATATTTTGTATTACACTTTATATATAACTAACTAAAGCCATGACCTCACCTCAGTTTATGTTACTTTAGTGTAGTAACAATAATAATAATAAAATAACTGGATTGTTTTGGTGTTTCAACATTCCATGTATTTATATATAATGCTGGGTTTGCCCCCACAACGTTATTTGATTTATTTCTAATCTTTTTCGTGTTTTTTTTTCAAACAGATCACCAAATCATGAAGATATACGTCCATCAACACTTACTCAAATGAGTTTAGATATTGGTCAAGGTGTAGCCTACCTTCATAGTAAACATTTAATTCATCGAGATATTGCATGTCGAAATTGTCTAGTCAGTGCAGATCGTACTGTTAAAATTGGTGATTTCGGTTTGACTAGACAAGCGGCCAAGAATAGTTCTGAAGTTTATTATCGGTTTACAAGGAATTGTAAGTTACTGTAAAAAAATCTTATATATGTACATATCTTCGTATGTGTGTAGTGTGGAAATTACAGTGTTTAAGTATATTGATCACTATAGTATGTGTGTGTGTATGCATGTTATCAAAGTACATGCACAGATGGTTGTTTGTTGATACCTGTCTCTGTGCTTGCGTGTGCCTATATTTCCAAACTTTTGCAATTAGTAGATACAATTTCCCATCATTAGTATGATATTGGATACATAATGTTAACACTGTCTAGTCGTTTAAGTAAATAACAAACAATTATACAGAAAAGTCATCTAATGATGTGTTGAAAGCATGTCAATTTAATTCATTTTGATATTATCATCGACATCACCACTATCTTATATCCTGCTTCCCTATAGTTTTCTGCATTACACCAAGTACACTGTCTTTCATTTTGTTCAATAATTACACAATATACGTAGATGGTTCAATGATCGTCGTCAAACACGAGGACCAGGTCAGACGCAGACTTAATGGCGGCGCACTCCTAAACCTCACCTCACTAGCTGGTAGTAATAAGCTCATAAAGTAGGAGAAGCTAAGCGTGACGGGCTCGTAATCCCACCGCTGTTACTGAGGCGAAACTTCAACACCAGATGCCTTGTGTTCCACTTGAAATCCAGCTAATAAAAGAAAAGGATTGCAAATTGGGAAACCTCAAATTTCTTAGTCTCTCCTTCTTCTTCTTTTAACGTTTTCTCCTATAATCTATTATTGATTTAATCACCCGACACTCGTAATAGTCTTTACCTATTACAAAAGTGACCAGTAGAGTGCAGCAGGTCGGGTGTGAGGACAAATACTCGCCGAAGACCATTGGCTAGCGGTCGCGCTAACTCCTAAATTGGCAGAAGTTAGAATTCATGGGCTGGCCATTGGATCGGGTCCCAGTGACTTAATGGTATACGAGCTCGCTGGCCTTGTAACCAGGAGGTCCTGGAGTTCGAACCCCGATGGTTGGGTACTGATGAAGAATCCCAAACTATGACGAAGCAGCTGTCCAGTACTCCTTGCAGGTTTTCCAATGGTTCTCTAACCAATGTCAGCTCATGATGAAATCCTGTAACCAATCAACCAAATCCCCCTACAAACCAATACTTGAACAAATTTTTTATGTTTCAGTCGTATAAGGATAGTCATTATTTGTACATTAATGATAGTTTTTTTAGCCCAAGATAATGATAATCTGTTCTGTGTTGTATTAACTTTCTATTTAATTGGCTTTCGCTGTCAAGTGTAAATAAAGTCTTTTCAGCACTGCCAGTGTCTAGTCGTCTTAATAGGTTGCCTTTTTTTGTTGTTGTAAAGTCACATATATATGCCTGATATTTAATATGCGTTTTGCATTATCCTAATATCTAAATAAGTATATGTACAAGTCAAAGAATTTATTCATTTACATTATAGGCTACGTATTGTCTATGTATCTAAAACGAGAAATATCATACACGAAATAACGATCTACTTATATTTTAACGGAATACAACACATCTGTGATGGATTAACTTAACCAAATAGTCATTTGTTTCCCGCTAATTGTGTGCACTATTATTATTATAGTGCGTCGGTGGCACGGCACCAACCACACAAGTGGTCCGGGGTTCGATCTCTGGCTGACTCACTCTTTTACTTCGCTAAGACAGTAATAAGACTGGTAAAGGGGAAAGGTTAGGCATGAGGCTAGCAACTTCATCCCGTAAAAATAAACACCACTGTTGCCGAAAATTCAAGTCTCTAGCTTGAAGTTTTATGTTCCACGGGGAACATAAAGGAATAAAATTTAAAAAATTATTTTTTATTTTTATCATTATTGCATATTATATTTTAGGTGAACTGCCTATTCGTTGGATGTCACCTGAAGCTGTTCAATTTGGTGTATTCAGCATTCAATCAGATATTTGGTCGTTTGGCATAACTTTATATGAGATCATTACTTTCGGTGTATTCCCTTATAATGGTTTAGGTGACGTTGAAGTAGTTGAACGTGTGAAACGTATGGAATTCAGTATAACTGAATTTTTACCATCTCAAGCATTGAATACTGTTGTGTAGGTGAAAAAGTTATCATTAGAATGCTTATAAATTTGTAATAATTTTATTAACCACTTTAATACACATGTATTGTTTAACTTGATGAATTCTAACATATATATATATATATATAAGCAAACGTTTATGTGAAGTTTTTTTCTAGCACTGAATAATATTTTGTTGTTGATTATCAAAAGAAAACTAGCGCCATCAATCTTTGTCTGTCTATTTGGATGGTTAGTTAGTCAGTTGGTTGGTTGGTCGGTTGGTTGGTTTTTTTTTTCAACATGACATGAAAGCTATAGGGTTAGACCTATCTACAGTTTATACGATAAATACGTTAATAATCAAATAAAATTCCAGTTTCCAGTTGTTTTGACTAATTTTCCCTTTTATTTCATGTTTTTCTTCCTCTTTTGTTCTTTTTTTCCAAAAACAAAAATCCATTTTAAAGGTGTGAATTAATTAACCACTGCTGTAGACACCAATGGCAACATCGACCGTCATCAATGAATCAGGTGTTAGAAATATTAAAAGCTTATCCCGAGTGTATTCGACCTTTTCTAACAGATGAACCACCTAAACCAAACACAACAATAGACGCATTACCTGTAAGTTGCCCAAATGTTTTTCGTATGTTGAAGTATGTATTATATATATATATATAATATATATATATATATATTGCATAGTTTTATAAGAAAATGACATGTTAACGAAGTGTGAATGTTATATAAATTTCTGGATATATTCTTCGCTAATCTTAAGTTATTCATGCATGGTCGGGCAGAAGAGGTCAAATTTCCTAGGTGGTGTGTGAGTAGTCTTCGTCTTAGTGTATAACTCAGTTCATTTTATTGACTTTTCATTTATTGAGTAGTCATTTATTGTTCTGAATGAAAAATAAAGGCTCAGGAAAACATCCCCCCCCATTCTACTGTGTTTTCCGTAGCCTTTTTAGCTGGCTCCACCAAGATTGTCTACAAGCCATTCCTTTCCTCTTCATCATATGATTTCCTTCATACCACTGGACACCCGACTCATCGAATCCCCTTCAAACGACTCTTGAGGCCTGAGATGTGATGCCAGTCATCAGTTTCCTCAGTGTGTTTGTAATCCCTATCCATTTCTTCCTTCTGTATATTTGTGGGGTAGTAGGATGTTTGTTGATTCCTTGGCAGAGTTTCTTGTCGGTAATCGTTTCTAGATGACCATCTTCGATGTCTATTGGAGATAGTTAAGTCTCATGTTGAAATTTTCGAGAATCCATTATTAATACTTCTGCTTTCGAAGATTCCTAGCACTTCTACATTATGTCTTCTGATTTCGTTTTTATTTTGAGAAGCCTTACTAGTCAGTCTGAAATATTTCTTGTCCCTATGCTTACTTTTGCTTTCATCGAAATGAAGAAGACACATTGGCCAAATGGCTGCACGAAGGTTATGTCAGGTGGCATCATTCACCCACCAATTGAGAAATCTTTCGAATTCCAATGGAGAAAAAGTTTTTTGTTTCTGTCCTTTGAAGTATTAGTAGCTTTGGAGTGGCTAGTCCTATTGCCAATTTTTTGAATCTTTCTCGAACTTAGAAGCAGATAGTCAACTAGACGAGTTTCCTCATCCTAAACAGCAGCACCAAGTATGAAATCTGAAATTGATGTGAAAAGCTCTGTCAGTGGAAACAAGCAAAGTATCATTTTCTTCGCCTCTATATCAGTAAGAGTTGAAGTAGGTAAGCAAAGTAAAACTGATCACAATAAGAAAAAATGAACCAAAGAATATTAGACAGCTTCTGTAATTATGTTAATTTTGGATAATAGCTAACACTTATGACCCACTGTTTGCATTCAGTTACCCGGAACAAGTCCTCGTGAACTGAGATACCAACCACACTTTACTTATTTGGTCTGACGATTCAATTCATCTAGTTGACTTAGGTAATGAGGGATTTTAATATTGAACCAGTTGCCTATAAGCCGAGTGTTTTGTTCAGCGGATCACATCCTCCTAATATCCGATTAGTCTTTTTTAAGTGAGCTATCGTGCTTGTTAGCACTTATCGGCACGCCATATTTGTGACTGTGAAAAAAAACTAATTTAAATTCACGTCATTCGTTATTGGGCTAAAACAACGGCCTTTGAGGTGTGGAGTTTTTGAACAACTTTCTGAGTTAGATATTTTTCATCCTAATTTAATCATCGTTGTCATTATTATCATTAGAGTTGATTTCATTCTCCAGTATCTTCTTTAATTTACTCTGATTTGCCGGCTGATTAATATATGTGTAAAACTTGGGCACTGTGGTAGTAAGTAATTCCAGTGCTACAATGCTATTTACTGGATGACCAAGGATTTACTAAGGAAAATCTAAGACAGGAAGTGAGACATATAGGAGAAGCCTTGAAACTTAATAATTATCGTGATAAATCAGTCAGAAAATATGTAGGGAAATGTAAACATAAAATAAATAATGACAGTAGTGACAGTGATAATTTTTTTTATCCTTCATGTTCCCAGTGGAAGATAAGGCCTCAAGCTACTGGGTTGAAGTTTCTGTAGCAGTGTTTAATTTCACAGGATGGGGTTGCTAGCCTCATGCCCAACCTTTCCTCTTTACCAGCATTATTTCTGGTTTAGCGAGGTAAAGGAGTGCGTCGGCCGGGGATCGAACCCAGGACCAAATGCATGGTCGGCGAGCATCCTAACCGCTGTGCCACCGACGCACGATAGTGATAATAATAACAGTAATATTAATGACAACATGCATGTCAAACATGCGCAGGATAGTGACAACACCAGCAATAAGGAATCTAAATCGTTGGCGTGGGTCGGTAGGAGATTGTCGCTCCTTTTGGAACACGTGTGTAGATACCGATCACGCACTGGTCCGGGCTCGTGTGTGCTTACGACTGAACGGACGTAGGAAACAGCTGGCGGTAAAACCATCACGTCCCCAGCTCGATCAGGAAACTAAATCCCTATTTGAGGAAGAACTAGCTAAACGCATATCTGAATTCGACAGCTGTGCTCACCCTGGAGAAGCCTGGAAGAATATTCAGTCAGCTATAGATACAGCTGTAAAAGCTGTGAATAAGGCAAATCCAAAGGTGAGTAAAAACCACTGGATTTCGACTGCCTCATCCGAACTGATAGATGCTAGAAGACTTATTCCGGCGAGCTCCGAATTCAATGAGGAGCGAAAGCTGCACAAAAGGAAACTTACTAAAAGTCTCCGCAAGGACCGTGAACAGTGGTGGGTGACAAAGGCGAAAGAGATGGAAAAAGCATCGGCGATAGGCAACACTAGGCAACTCTTTAGACTCATCACAGAATCGGGTGGGAGAAGGCAATTCATAAGTGAGACTATTTCTGAGAAAAATGGCTCCTTAATTAGCTCTCAGGATAGACGCCTTGAACGCTGGAAAGAACACTTTGAGGAACAATTTAACTTGCCTACAGCCACACTGAACCTCCCCGCCATCCACCACGTACCCGAATGGGATATAGACACTGGTCCGCCGTCTGTAGGTGAGGTTACAAAAGCTATCAGTAATTTGAAACGAGGCAAAGCGGCAGGACCCGACGGAATTATTCCGGAGGTGTTTAAATATGGGGGTGACATACTAGTTTGTAGATTAACTGAGGTACTAGGCAAAGTCTGGGAATCAGAGACAGTACCATCAGACTGGGGTAAGTCACTTATTATACCGATATTCAAGAAGGGAAACAAGTCCTCGTGTGATAATCATAGGGGGATCAGCCTAACGAACATAGTCTCTAAAATCCTAGGCTCAGTAATCATGCATAGACTAAGCAGAACTCGGGAGGAACAGACAAGGGAAAATCAAGCAGGCTTTAGACCAGGTAGAGGGTGCATAGATCATATCTTCACTCTTCGACAGATTCTAGAACATAGACACACTTTTCGGCGTCCAACAATTGTCATATTTCTTGACTTGAAGGCGGCCTTCGACTCCGTGGATCGAAAGGTACTATGGCAATGTCTGACTGTGAAGGGAGTGCCAAGAAAGTACATTGCACTAATCAAGGCACTCTATTCAAACTCACGTAGTCGTGTAAGGGCTTATGGGGAATTGTCATCTGAATTGGTAACAACCAGTGGTGTCCGACAGGGATGTCCACTTTCCCCATTTCTGTTTAACTTCATCATAGATATGCTAATGGAAGTATCCTTAACTGAACGTAGTGACTTAGGAATCGACTTGTTACCAGGGAATAATCTAATGGACTTAGAATATGCAGATGACATAGTCCTGTTAGGGGAGGATGCTGACAAAATGCAGAGTCTTCTGAACACCTTGAGCAGCAATCTTCGTATGTTTGGCATGCGATTCGCCCCTGCAAAATGTAAGATGCTGCTACAGGACTGGACACGTCAACCCCTAACTTAGTGATAGGGAGTGAAGTGATAGAACATGTTGACCACTTCACCTACTTGGGAAGTTGTATTAGCACCAACGGACTGATTGGCGATGAAATCTCAGCACGGATCCGAAAAGCTCGAGCTGCTTTCGCTGACTTACACCATCTCTGGCGTAGGCGTGACATCCGGTTATCAACCAAGGGACGTGTGTACTGCTCATCAGTTCGCTCCGTCCTTCTCTATGGCTCTGAAACATGGCCAATACGCGTTGAAGACATGAAAAGGTTGACTGCTTTCGATCATAGATGTCTGCGATCTCTGTCTCACGTTAGGTGGTTTCACAAGATAAGTAATGTTGACGTTAGGCGTAGAGTGTTGGGCAAAGAGGGAAAATCAATCGACGAGGCTATAAAGTTACATAGACTAAGATGGCTAGGTCACGTGCTGCGCATGCCTAACCACCGCCTCCCCCGACGGGCATTGCTAGCTGATATAGGTTCAGGTTGGAAAAGAGCCAGTGGTGGCCAAACAAAAACATGGCATCAATCCATGAAATCCTTGACAGTTAAACTGAGTCAGGTAGGGAGATGCAGACTCCCGGGTTGGGGCCCTCGGGACTCTAGGAATCAATGGCTGGAGACAATAGGTGACATGGCTCAAAATCGTTGTCAATGGCGCAGATGTATTCAGTCTCTGTAATCTTTCATATTCCTTTCTACCATTACCCATTCTGTTTCACTCTTATACTTGTCAAACTCTATTGATTCTCTTCACTCATCTTCTTGTCTACCTCTGTGTGCTATTTGGAACGTGGCAACTCGAACTGCTGCACTTCGGTGCCAAGTTCTATGTTGAATCCAGACAGACAGACAAATCAACAGTAGTAATTCCATACAAGGAAAGAACCTTGGAAACCTTACGCAGAATTCTAAACAGTGCACGAATAACAGTGGCCTGCATTCAAACCCATAAACTCAATTAGAAACAAGCTTTGGCGGTTAAAGGATCCTGTGGAACCTTTAAAACAAAACAATTTAGTTTATCTAATACCCTACCTTCAATGACTGTCAGGTCAAACTAGTAGAACATGGGCAGTCAGACTAGCGGAGCATAAAAGCTTAGCTAAATCTAGATTGGTTGACCCAAGTAAGATAAGAAATCTAGAGAATAGTTCAGCTATAGCACTCATTACGTGCAGTCATACACAACCATACAATAGGATGGGATAGGATGACAGTTTTAAAATCTAATGTCACAGGGTATAGGGAGAGATTGATAACAGGAGCTTTGTTTATTGAATCAACACCTATCCCAGACATCTGGAAAATTCTGCTACCCCAACGACAAATAAAAAAGAATAAAGAAGACTGTAAAACGAAAGTTTTGAATTGTGATGATAATTAATATGACTATGAACAATAAATTTTGTTCGAAACGTAATCCACCAAATAATACTGTTTCACTGTGTGATATATCTGATAAACAAACAAATATGGAATTGTCGGCCGATGTTAGATAGCTTAAGACTAAACGTCGTTCTACCTTTTTTGAATAACTCAGTAACTTATATCATTTGTAATGCACTAGAGTAGGTTCGATTATTCACGTTGGTTTAGTCATACTTGTTGAAATTTATCTACTGTGAATATGATTATATTGTACTTTTCTTTTTTTTTTATAGTTCCAACCAAATGTAGGTACTTGTATAATATCGGAATCTACATTGACTGGTCTTGCTGTAGTTGACAGTGTTAGTGGTAGTGGTTTTCGTACAATGCGTAGTGCTTCAGCTGCAGCCGTACCAATATCCTCCTATACACCTTCACCTATCCCATTAAGTCTTCCCGATGCCAACAGTGATAAATTTTATGGTCATGAAAAACGTTTTAGTGAACAAGCAAATCTTCACGGTAATACACTATTCCAACCACGATCAACTTTTGACTGGCCTGGAAACTACTCATCTCATTTATGTACAGAGAATTTATCAAATTCAAAATTGGCTTCATATGAGTCTTATCAACTTCCAGTATTTCCTGAAAAACACTCATTATATCCATTATCAAAAAATGAAAGTAAAGAATGTGTTAAACCATTTAGTGGGATAGGATTTGAAGAATCTACAAAACTAGCTGTGACAGCTGATCATATTACTACTCATAATAATAATGGTGATAATAATAATACTGATAATATGTGTAGTAATGTTTTATTCAACCTATCAACAAGTCCTGTTTCCACTACTCCAAGTTATCAGTCAGTTGATGAGAATACTCATTTAATAGGTAAATCATCTAAATATAGTGATCAGTGTTCGTATGCATCTGGGAATACTGTAAGCTGTAGAAAACAGAAGCGGTCGAATGTATTTCTAATCAACACGAAATCAATAATTCCAGATGAACTAAGTAGTTTACTATCTGATAATCAACTTCAGTAAGTTCAAGTTTTTTTTTATTAATTTATTTCCTTCTTCTGTGTACCCTTACTATTGAACGGTTAAAAGTTGGTTATACAGAGAGAAAGGATTACTCAGTTAACTTTTATTTTGAACACTGTTGTTGGTTTTACCGTATCCAGATTATCGTTTTGGAATTTGTGAAATTCGTGATATCTCTTTCCAGCGTTTACTTGTTTGTTTTGTCATCTTTTGAGTTGAATTTTATCACATCAATTGTTACATTTTAAGCTGTCGAAAGGGGTACAGTCGCCATTTAGCCTTAACACTCAAAAAAAAAAAATAGAAAATATCAGCTTTCGGTTCGACATTATTTCTCAGTAACTGTATGTATAATAACTACATATACTTACTTGAAGGATTGCTTTGTACGGAAACACCTAACATTGGTTATATGCTAAAACACACGGCCCTATCTGTCCTATGTCATAGTCACCTTTGATTATCTATCCTACAGTAGAATACTATAGCATTTTCTGTAATCTTAGCTTTATACGAGAGTTACAATGAAAACACCTTATAATGAATGTATTGGTTTAGTATTTAGTGAAGTTGGCAAGCATATCTACCTTCTTGACTGCTTGGATCAATATCTGGCATGGACAATTTGCAATTGAAACCGTTTTATTAGAGTTATAGTGTGTAATAATGATAGTAATAGCTTTGTTCTGGAAAATGTTTTTACACAGTACAGAATTTTCAGATTTTTTATTGTAGGGAAATTACTCCTTGTGCAGAATCTTCAAGTAATATGACAAACGATAATATAGGAACTTTGAAGTGATATTGTTCTATTGGAGACAGACTCGAATAATCCACTAGGGTTTCTATTCCATTTCCATCAAAAAATTAGCAGCGATATTTGAAAATATGCCTGAGTATACTTTGCTCTTTTCAGGCATAATTCTATGATAAAACAATATGAAATGGAGTGAACACAATGCATTCAAGCGGATAGAAACTTTTGCTGACCAGTGATGATTTAAGCAGTTTATATGTGTTCTAAAGTGCAACGAATATGGCCAACATTCATGGTGGTCTGCAAACTTCGTATCTTTTCGCCTATGTTTTGTTAATTTTCTTGAACTCTTTGTTTTATAATCGCTTAATTTTCTATTTTACCAGGTCATCTTCAGATGCCACTTCAGGGACATATACTAGGGATTCGGAAAGATCATGCATTTTATCATCTGATGGTGGATGTTTAGATGAACAATTTCCTCCGGTTCCCATGAAAGAATCTCACATACCAGTTGATTCACAGGAATCTAGAACTCCAATTAACGATCAACAAAGTCGTCATCTTAATCGACCTACTCGTTCCTTAACTAATGTAACCTCTTTACATTCTGACTGGCGGTGTTTGCATAATCTTGCTTATTCTAAGCACTGTATTTCGGCTGGTAATATTAATCTGATTTGTACACAAACCGGTATGCATACTGTCAGTTCAATTCCATCTTCTAGTCTTTTTGACCCTTGTACACATTCCTTTTTTTCCAGTAATAATATAACCTAGATAGGTCACGTTTATCATTGTTTACTTACTGTGATACTTTCAGTTTATTTGTAGACAACCTTTTGTACTGTTCTGTGTGTGCGTGTGTATGTATGTATGTATGCCTGAGAATGACTTTCCACAATACTTATTCATTCCTGGTTTATATATATATATTATATATATATATATATATCAGTTATCCTAAATTTGCCGCATTGCTCACAAGTTTCAATTCTTTTATTGGGATCTTGTTATTTCTTTCTTGTTTTGTTCTTCAATATTATTAATTCACTGCACAACTGAATATGTAATATTGTCATCCTGTAAATACTTTTGCTAACCTAGTCATATCATATAAGTGCATATTCTGTGTGTGTGTCTTTACCCTATAATATGTACTAGCTTGATATAATGCTTCAGTATGTGTAAATCTTTGCATGTGGGAGGCTTGAATGCGATTGTAATATACCGCCTTTATCTTAATGTTATGACATACTGCACTCAGTTTAATAAATATTTGATGCAGTAACTTTGCTATTATACACATTTTAACTGCTTTTTTGTTTTCTGCTAAACATAATGTTGGAACAATGGACTTCCACAAATTGTGTGTGTGTGCAATATTTGTCTACTTCTCAACCACTACGCCTAAGAATTTAGAGTAGTGTTTGTGCGTTTAAGGTTGTAATATGTATGTTCTTGTATATTTCTTTTATTTTTCTTTTCATTAGTAATCAACAGTGATATGTTTGTTAGGTATTTCATGTGCTACCGCATGGTATATTTTGTGCTGATTTTGTCGATTAATAAAAATAAACTTAGTTGACGATACTCTCGGTGTATCTTTTTGTTGTCATTTGCAATATTTCAGGAAGAAGATCTATTGTAACCTCAACATTTTAGAAAGTCGTTGGATTGACATAGATTCCCATTAGCCTAAAATTACTTTTAGTCATAAATCATGATAGCAATGTGGAACACAGTCTATGTAGGCTATCATTCGGTCTAAATTTGCAAGGAACTCACACAGACGTTTAAATATACAGCTAATGTTTGGCTGCAGTAAAATTTACTTCTGTCAACCAGTTCGTGCCGAGGGTGTGTAGGCTTCAGTCTTCCTTTCGAAACGCTCAGTTGTCATTTTGTATCCATAGCCTCTGCGAGGTAAGTCCCATTCACTGCTGTCATGCAACGGTGGTGTTCTTCACAAAAGTCTAAGGATGAATGCCCAACGTTAGGCGCTTTCAACTGCTCGGTGAACATGCAGATCCTCTAGAGGAAACTGAAAAACACATCCAAACTTATCGTGAACATGGGCTTTAGGATTCAAAGAAATCGAATGCTACGTGAACTTCCTGTGGTCACAGGCTACCTTAGAAACCCTGCTCCACTGCCTTGTGAATTAAAATATTAGAAAGTCTCTTTGTCAATATCCGCTTCGTTTCAGAGGCTCGCATTCGATTTTCCAGGGTAGTGCTTCAGACGTCACCTCAAAGTTTGAATGCTGCTCACCACTCGCGTTTATCCAGGAGTCCCTGTAGTGTAGGCGTCTGACTTAGCTGGTGTCAGTAACGTGCGAAGCACTGAAGCTGCACTACTCAACTGGATTCGCATTAATAGCTGTCGATGTGCTATTGGATTGGAAGGTTATACCCGAATGAGATGCGACCAGTGGTGTTTATTTTTCATCTTTATGTGCTCACTGACACATTGCAGCTCTGATCTAATAAAGGATGATTTTTACTATCAACTAAGTAAGCATTCTCAAGAATGCATATTTGACGGATATCAGGGTGCTAGCTGGATATTATGATGTACAGGTGGAGTATTTAGGCTTAGATGGTCAATTGGGGTCTATATTTGCAGGTCAGATAATTGGAACTGTCTTCTGCAGTTCGTTACATATTTCTAGCCAGTACCAACTTTTGACATAGCCGTCACCATACTACTAACTAGCAGTCTTCTTACACTATCAATCAGGCATGAATTAAGATACGTAGGATTGCTATCACCTACAGATAGTTTACATGTACATACGGGACTGTGAATCCTTCTACATCACCTATCTAGATTCAGACCATGTTTTAATATGTGCCATATTTAGACTGTGGCTTTCATAGTCATCATAGACTTTATCCTCAACAAGCTGACGTAAGCCAACTCACAGCACCTGCTACTAATGTGAAATATCAGACCGAACTATATACCAGATAAAATAGATTAACGCTGACTCCAATCAGAAGACTTCATAGCAATGACGAGTAAAGTAGCTTACGGCTAAATAGGACTTCCCACTCGGAACTACTAGATTTCTACGAGTTCCTCATAGTTTCTTAACAGCTGTCATACATACTATTTCGGGATCGCGAAGCCCGGTGTTCAGAGTGTGCGTGTGGCATGTGAACAACAGCTTCAGTTGGAAGCTAGTTGGTAACTACTACTGTAATGTGTCTAGTCCTTTGTTTGGTGCGAACTGAATTACACCAGTCAAGTTTGCAATGTGGCCACCACCATTCTAGATGGCTCATCATCACCGTGGACTTTGAATTCTTCATATTAGATGGTCGGAGGTTATCAGCAGCAAGCCCTACCTCAAACTGTCAAAAGTGAACTTCGTTTGGACATATATAACTAACTCGCATAAGTTTTATGTTAGTTGGCAACCACCCACCAGTCAGCAAGGCGTATCTGCGACCTTCTGAGATTCGAACTCGCATCAACCAGTGCTGCACTCAGAGACGTTATCATTGACATTACCTAGGTCGAATGTATCCTGCCGACTGCCTCCAACCAACCATCCAATACCAACAGATTTCAATTCCACCGATACTGATTATCAATCAAGTTATCAGGGTAATTTCCGACGTACAACTGTCCAGTAAATCAAGTTGCACATCTCAAATAGCCCGTAAATGTGGAATAAGAGAAAAGTAACACAAATACACACTATCATGATAGGGGATGTAGAGAAGGAAGAATCTCAGTTTATAGAGAATAATGAGAGTTTCATGTATCTACTGGTTCATAAAGAGATAAATGTATCTGAAACACTGAGAACGATTTTGAGCGATGTCACCAACAGTTTCAAGTCATTGATCCCAACGTCTAGAGGACACCAGACAGACACAGATAGTCTACACATCCTTACATAGCACAAATCAACATTCAAAGATTTCATGAATTGATTCAAGGTTTTGTTCTGACTACTTCTGACTCTTTTCCGAATTTACTCGATGTCGACTAAGATTACTGGCTGAGGGAAGCGATGGCTTGATATGAGTAGCACATGTCTGATAGGACCCATCATACAATAGCATATCATGCTTTCTCAGAAATCATGTGATTTATCTTGTCATGGAGTTACTATGTGGATCAGTCAGTCTATCACTTCTCACGCATATTGTGATTTAGTGTGTGATCAATTCCTCGTCTTTTGTCTCACCTTGGTCTTTGTCGGATCACCAACCGATCAGAATAGAAATTTCTGGCCAATAAAAACAGTCCATTCTACGGTTGTGAACCAACTGTATTGTGGTAAATTAATTACACGAATATGATGTTTTGTTTTCCAATAGATGTACAACATGATGTCTTAGTCACTCACAGGCCAGTCTTTTACTTTTGATATTTCTATGGCTCAGTGAATCGGAAAGTCCAACGGACAAACAAATAGGCATATAAGCGTACCATCCAAGTTGATTGCCGTTGTAGTAATTAACAGGCGCAGACATAACAAAGTAGCAAGGGATTTATTCAGTTCAGTCATAACAGTGTCCTAGCTATTTTAATCAGTGAAGCTGGACAACCTCATCGGCTGTCTAACCCACCTCACTTAATATTACACCTCACCTCCATATTACTATCTTGTTATGCCAGTTAACAGGAGAGATAGACCGGAAATACCCATGGTGAAAAGTTGGTTTGTCCCACAGCTACAAAGAAGGACAGAGCGAACTTCTGTGCAGCACACACCTCCTTCAGTCGACACATGGATATAAAGCCTGCGTCCGAGATAATGTAAGTTGGAAAATACTATATGAGTCTTTTGTATTCGGGTTGAGATTTCAACAACGATCAGTTCACTATGCGGATACCACCTTCCATGTGTGTGAAGTTTGCAACCATTTCACACTTTTTCACTAGGGGTGGACGCAGGCTAGTTCTGCAACCTGATCCCACATTTGAAAGTGGCGAGTCACAAACTAGACATTCCAAGATTTCCGTTAGAGGAATCCGGAAAACTCCGTATTTTGCCAATGTCTATATCTGTCCAATGGTAACAAACCAGTATCTAAGTCACTAACGTTGATTATGGAACACATCCATCAGTACACCCATAATGAATTTAATCAAAAACGGGTCAATAGATATGGCTGGCAGATACCACTAGTAGTCATCATTACAGATTTCAACTTCCCATAAACCCTTACACGAACACGCGAGTTCGAATAGAGTGTCTTGATTTGTGTAATTTGCCTTCTTGACCAAACATTACCACAACACCCGGTCGACAAAATGCAATATCTCCTTCAGTCCAAGAAATATGGTGAATGTTGGAAGAGCGCAAGTAACCCTATGTTATATAATCTACCAGTGGTTGAATATCTATCTGTTGAATGCACTCTCTTTCGGGCCTGACCGCTGCCCGGGTTTTACGGACTCGTTCATCCCTAGCACCGTTTAGTCTTATTGAAACTGGAGATTTAGATGCTGTGCAAGTAAAACTAATCTGCCTGTGACTATCACAGGAAGACTTGTCTGTCCTCCTTCCTGCAAACTGGGATAATCAGTGATTCACACCAGCCTAACTGAATTATCTCTGGTTCCCAGACATTACCTGATATCTTAGTTGATCCATTTAATAGTTGATTATCATGCCATCCTTAAACACCTGTGAAGTCATACTTCACCTCGTTGCAGATTACAGACAGCTGTTACAACGTCAGATACAGTTGGACGACTGGTATCTACATTCCATTTATGTAGGTGTTGGATGCTGGGTAAATTTAGTGTGGCTGTAGGTCAGTTGAATTATTCCTCAAAGTGCTCCCTCCAACGTCCTAGTCCTCTATCTTCAAAGGTAGTTAAAGTTCCGTTTTTCTCAAAATTGTTTCACCTGTCATTTATCATTTATAATCCACTCCCTAATCAATTTTGATAGTTATTTGGCGTTAGCTATCAGGAGTACTTTTTCCGTTTCTTTAGCTTTTGTCGCCCACCTCTGATCACAATGGATACTTTTGGTCGGTTTCTATTTGAACAGCTTTTGCTGCTCATCATGTTCAGATCCCGCTAGAATCAGTGTTTTGGCGTCTATCAATTCAGTTGAAGCAAGGGAAATCCACCGTCATTTACAAACCTTAAGTCATCACAGCCTTTACCCCTGTTTCTACAGCTGACTTTATACTATTGCAGTCTTCTTCAAGATAAGACTTTCTGTGAATCTTAGGTAGACATTTTGTTATTCATCACTAAATAGACATGTTTTCTCATCAAGAAGTCGGGGACGTATCACCTTCATAGCTGCCTGTTGCCTGTGTCCATGCAGTGGTAGGCATACGTATGCACTAAAGCGTGAATTGAATTTCGAGGTGTTTCAGAAAGAGCGGTAGTCTCTTAGTGACCCTCTCTATCTGTACCCTCTACTTCAGTCCATTGTTGATGTACTATTGAAGATCTGAATTTATGGAGTTACTGCTGGTCAGGAGGGACATACAAGACAATCACCGTCTTTTATTCGTCGGCCTGGAACCGCCAATATATTTTCCTAACTGACACGGCTTCCCTACTTGAGTGGTGAAC